ATAAAGTGAAAGAATTACTAGTTTATCCCTTGCTACAATCCCTCTTTTAATGCATGCCAGTATCTTGTTTGCTTTGCTGGCTGCTGCTTGGCATTGCTTACTATTGATAGGTCTTTTTCCATGTTTGACTTCCCTAATGTAGCACCCCAAAGTGATAGTTTGCACACAAGATATTTGCTCCCATGTGCATAACCTTACATTTTTCAACATTACATCTTATTTTCCATCTTGTAGTCCATGCCTCAATTTGATTTAGTTCCTGTTGAAATGCGAATATTTCCTGATCGGAATTTACTGCCCTACACAGTTTAGTACCGTCCACAAAAAACAAAATCGAAATATTTAGTCCAAGCTCTATGTCGTTAATGAATAAAATGAACAGGATCAGTCCCAGGACTGAACCCTGGGGCATCCCACTCACAACCTTTGCCCAATTAGAAAATTACCCATTTATTACTACCCTCTGGATCCGTTCTTCCAGCCAAATTTCCACCCATGTACATACAATTTCATCCAAATGGATAGACCTTAGTTTATGAAGTAAACTGTACTGTGACGAATGCTTTAGCAAAGTCCAGGTAAACCATGTCTACTGGTATTCCTCTGTCTAAATTAATGCTGACTTCCTCATAGAATGTTAATAGTTTGGTCTGGCAAGAACAGTCCTTCATGAAGCCATGTTGGTTACTACTTATGATACTTACGATACCGGTTTTATTCACAAATTCCTGCATGTAGTGCCTTATCAAATATTTTGCAGTCTCTCCAAGAAAATTGTCTCTAGGACAAGTGTCCCCATTGGGAGATTTACCTTCACCTCTTCTTCTAGTTACAACTGTTGAACTTTAGTTTCCCATCACTGTCTGTTGGCCCTAGTGATAATGCTCCCCAGGGCAAAAAGATAGGGTTAATCTACCCAGTAAGGACCCTGAAAGCTAAAAAAAAAGTGGCGTTCTAACCAGGGGCGTCCCGAGGTTGGGTGACGCCCAGAGCAGTAACCGAGTGTCACCCCGCCGAGACATCACCGCACATGCGTGTGACGTCACCACGCACGCGCGGCAGTATTCTGATACCTGGCGGCGGCGACCATCTTGGTGATGGACGCCGGCAGAGAGTGAAGGGGACAGTCACCCGGCGGGATAAGGTATGCCGCCGGGTCCCCTCCTCTCTCCTGATACTGCTTTTCAGAGGGGGGTGACACCAAAATGACTAAGTCATTTTGGTGTCACCCTTCCAATGGTGTCACCCGAGTGCGGGCCGCACCCCCCTTGTGACGCCACTGGTTCTAACCTACAAATAAATACTGTGGTAAATGATTACTGGCAGATATCCATTTACTTGAAACTGGCTGGGCAGGGATACTTTGGCAGTTTCAACAACAGGTAGATGGATATCCACCAGTGACCATCTACTACAGTATTTGTGTCCCCCCCAGCCCCCACGTAAGTCCAAGTCGTATTGGCATCTCCAGCATTTGGTTTTAGTTGTGTCGGTCCACAATATTCCCTTTCCTTCTGAGGAAGCTCCCTCAGCTAAACACGTTGAGCATGAGGACCACTCACCATTACTGTACTGTCAAGTCTACAAGCCCTTATATGCATCTATACTGGATACCCTGAAACATTAAAGATATGTGAATTCAATGCAGGCTATTATCCAGTCTGTATGATGTACTAGAGAGGTTTTGTGGAATATATGGACATGCATATTTTATGAATTTTAATGTTGATGAATAAAGTTGTTTTTAACAGTATATTTGCTTAGGTCCTTGGCTTTACCATAAAAGCCCATTCCATAAGCTATGGTTTACCAGCATTCTTTCCTAAACAACTGTTTCAGACACCGATGGGTGATCAGCATATCAGCCGAAAAAGTTTATCCGCTTGGTTGAAATTTTTTCACACGTTCAGCTGTGACACTCATTTCATGTGGATTACAGTCAATGTTGAATATTCGTTCACAGTATGTGTGTATCGGAGAGTATATTTTAGTGAATGTTGAACATGCATAGCCTTATAGGCCAACTTTGTGGGCTGGAATTGTCTAGTATATTTAAAGCATCATCGATTATGGGGGAAATCCCCTTTGGACCCTGTAGTAATTGTTCTTTCAAAATAAAATGGGTGACTGTGTAGCATGTAGACATGCATGCTTGGACAGTACAGGTGTGTGATCTTTTGCAGAGGCATGGCAATGGACTAACAAAAATTAGACATAGCTTTATAAAACTATTGGTGTTCTGGGGAGCATCTGGAGGGGTTCAAGACTGAAGGGTCAATTCTGAATATTCAGATGCATGCGTAAAGCCCATCATGAATGGTTCTCTTTAGTTGAGGTAGTCATAAAAGTTACTGAGCTCCAATCAGTGTTGTGATAATTGTTCTTTACATTTTGATGTTGAAGCCAAAAAATTCTTTGCTTGTAAACATGTTTTTAATAAGGAAGGATCCTATAAAAATAGCACAGCATGTGCTTCACATTATTCTAATCCAACATATGTTCTAAAGAAAGACAACTGAAGTAACATATTTGGCCTAATTGTAATATTTTAATATTCTAATTATGCAAATAATTCCACATTCAATATGGGTAGAAAGAACACTAAACATGCCATATTTAAAATTGACATACATACACCCACAATAGTGAGTTAATTGCCTTTAATTTGAGCTTTCTCCTGTCATCGTTTTCTTTGCTGTGGATGATGGCCATCTGTCCATTTTTAGGAAACTTTCAGGTATAAGCAGTGAACTACATTGTTAGGCCAGAAGATTAAGGTCTTCGTTCTGGATGTGATTTTCATTTGCACTGCAATTGATCAATGTGTGTTGACAAATGCTTGAAGTGGACCTTACTCAGTTTTAAATATTTAAAAGTGAATGTCCTGCCTTACAGCAGACCCCACAAGCTGCATGTTATTACTTCTTGTAGATTGCCTTGTCTGTGCCCTTCTTTTATTTACTTACACTTTGCTTTTTGTTTGTAATTCAAAACAGTTAAGCCAGAAGGGAAGGTCCACATGTGAGCCCACCAACTGCATTTTTAGAAGTAAAAGTGAGCAGTGACATCCTCCATGTGTATCTCATGGCATGTTGCCTTTAAAGTGCAGCTGTAGTAGTAGTAGCCTAGACTATGCATATGAAAGCCCAATTGTACTTGCCCGTTTTTTCAAATAGATCAGTCAACTGTTGCTTACTCAATTTCCTTAGCCATTTTGATAGTTTTTACTTCACTTCCTCTGATTCCGTTCTAGTGTCAGATACCAGATTGTACACACTGGCAGCTGTAGTACGCGTCTGAACGTCACTCCCGGGACACACAAACTCAAAGTCCTAGTGTCCTTTGTTGCCTGGCATCTTGTTGTTTTACTGTAAAGCTGGTTTGCTGGTCTCCTGCTTTGTTTACAGTACTCCTCTCCCTGCTGGAATGCCAAGGAACCTGTACAGCACTTGCAGCATTGCCTTTCTGCCACTCAGTCTGAGCTGGGTGGTGCTACGGGCAGTACAGGTCTGCAATCAGCTATGCCCTCTATCCCTGCTCAGGAGTGTGCTGATACAGACCTATAGTACTTTCCTAGGCTAGTGTTGTGTTGGACCTCTTATGCCAGATTGCTGGTCCCCTGGGCAATACCCCAGTACCATTAATTGTATAGTCTGGTGCACAGAGGTTTTTACAGAACGTTCTTGACTAAATTATGTGCCCTGAATTTAATGGTATTATTTGTTAGTGGGATTTAATTGGGCTTTAAAATGCATATTATAAATGAGCAATAACACACTTTATTACAAGCCCTCATTCACCTCTGTAGCTATAGGCATTGTGGAGAACCTATCTTTACAATTCAGTGCCTCAATACAAAGGCACTGAAATCGCAGCTCACGTTCCCTAGGTTTTTTTGGCAGCAGAAACTTGGCAACCTGCCAGCTTTCTAATGTAAGCCCACAGCACTTACTGCAAGGCTGGGTTCACACCTGGGCGTTATGCACGTTTTTCCTTTTTTTTCTCTATCTTTTTTTTCTGTTTTTTTTAACCTTTCAAACTTTCCCGCTGGTTCCGCCCCCCTGCGACGCGGACGCTCGCAAGGGACGGAACCCGGAAGACGGCAGCGGCTGGAGGACACAGTGGGATCGCGGACAAGGTAAGACCTACGCTGTATTCCCGAGTGTGGCTCGGGCTTACCGCTTTGTTAACCCCGAGCTACACTCGGGAATACCAATTGATACGCACGGAAATACGCCCCAAAAGAAGCTCCTGTACTAGTTCGGGCGTAGGGCGTTGAAATACGCATTGAAATACGCCCAGGTGGGAGCCATGCCCATAGGAAATGATGGGATTTCACTGCTTGAGCGGTTTTCAGCGCTTTGATCAGCTCTAAAAAATGCCCAGGGGTGTACCCAACCTAAAGCTCTATTCACACCTATATTTTAGGTGTGATTAAGGATTCTTGCATCAGGAACTGGCAATTTCCTGCAGCAGGAATCCCTAATCTGCCATTTACAAGCGGCATTTGAATGCCGACGCACCGCCTGTAATCGTATGTGATAAAATTACATGTGGTTAGGAATCAATCACTATCCCTGGACGCATCGATCGTTTTACCTTTTCAATTTTTTCTTGCAGCAGGCAAAATGGCTGAATCCAGTGCTTGGTGTAGCTTTACTTGGTGTATGGTGCTTATACAAGTGTTATACTGTAGCCATTTCCTATATTCAGCCTTGGTGTCTCAGTGGCTACTTACTTGCACAATGCCCTGCGATTCACGGCGCTGAGTAAACATTCCACATTGACTTAAGTTGTCTCATGTGAATCGGAGTTTATTTTTTTTCTGTTGTGATTCACAATTAATGCTTCGCTGGTTCCTTCCTTAGACACAGTTTTGCATAGTCAATACTAGAACACACAAACCTTCAGATGAAGAACCTTACACACTCCCCTCCGCAGAGACCCTTTCAGATTAATTATGACTGGTATACAACTAAACATGTTTGTGTCTTTCTTAGGGAGAAGGTGGACAGGTTGTGCTTTGCAATCAGCAGAGCCCTGTGGGAGGTGTGCAGCTGGCAAGGTAATGTTTCTAAACAAATAGAAAATAAAATAAAAATCTGTAAAAGTATAATTTGTAGCTAATGGAGACTTTTTGGGGTGTTCCGTAACATCTGTACTGATAGCCCCTGGGAAATGTTGTATGATTAGATATCTCACAATGCTTCAGGAGCTTTATACTGTGTTGCCAGAATAAGGAAGAAAAAAAAAACCTCCATGCTTGTGTTGCTGTTTATAGCTTGCTTGGTAGAATGGTGGCTTGTGCTGTCAATTTGTTTTCTTTATATTGTAGAAACTTTATTGAGTTCATATTTCCTTAATCATTTCCTTATTTTTGGATGGTTTGGAGCAGGATTCAGTCCCATTGGATCTCTGTGGCAGTCCATAGATCTCCCTCACTCTTGGCAGGGCCATGACAAGCAGAAAGCTCAACTAAAAGCCAAAGCTCATTGACTTGTGAGTGATCCATGTACAGTATTTTGATTGTATATGTAAGCAGGTGAATGTTACAATATTTGTGTGCCTTACCCCATTTAGTGTTGGCATGTCAAATGTATGAGAAAGATGGCAAAATTGAAGAGAATAATTCTGCAATGAACTCCATTAGGTTTACTACAAAGAGTAAAACTACTTTAATTTAAAGTTTTAAAAGTATAAAATTAGCAATATGTATTACAGCCTAATTGTACAATCTCTATACCAGGGGTAGGCAACCTAGGCACTTCAGCTCTGGTGAAAATACAAATCCAATCATGCCTCTCCTCTGGGAGTCTTGCCTGTCGCTGTTAAGTCTTGCATTGCCTTATGGGATTCGTAGTTCCACAACAGTTGGAGTGCTAAGGTTGCCTACCCCAGCTTTATTTAATCTACTTTACATGGGGGTCTTTTGGACCCCCAGCATCACCTTAAAGAGTACCTGTCACCACCATCTGCTATCACATGGGGGGGCTTGTAGCAGTCATGTTTGGAAGGATTTGTAATGTTTGAATTGATGTTTGATTTGAATCTTTTGGAGCAGTCTTCATGTGTATTTATCACTGTGTTTGTTTTTCTTCGCATTTGGGTAAGGGCTGCATGTCCTTTTCTGCTGGAAATGCAAGCTGTTTTTCCCATTTTATATACAGTCATATGAATAAGAAAGTACACCCTTCGTCACGGCACCCTGGTTGAGAAAGGCTGCTATAAACAACAGTTGTTTTTTTTTTTTAATCAAAGAAGCAAAGAGAGAATCTGGAAAACTTGAAAGTTAGCCTAAAGCTTCACCTCTTAGCTTAGAAAAAGATATCGATAGGTAATATTATTATACAGATTTATATAGTGCCAACAGTTTGCGCAGCGCTTTACAATATAGACATTGTAATTACAATACAATTCAAGACAAGATGGTAAGGAGAGCCCTGCCCGTGAGTGCTTACAATCTAAGAATTCATGTATTTTTTAGCTCTGGCCATAAATCATCTAACAAATATTATTTATCAAAAGCAAACTAAAAAAAATGTTGTATAAAATATATAAATATGTAGGCACCTGCACATATTTGTGTCCCCCACACAATAGAGCCAAGTTGTTTGAGCAGCAATTGCTACATATTGTCAGTGTTGGCTTGTTACTACAGGTTTGTTTTTATATTGATGCTGGAAGACTCCAGAAGCATTTCCCTGTATGCATAGGCGTCACTACAGGGCGGCAAGGGGGGGCA